ATTAACTCCCCCCCGTTAAAGGGGTAGCACACGAAAATTCCATTCGCTTCCTAGGGAACGCCAACTTTGTGTGGTTGGTTTTAGGGTGACGGATATCGAGATTGCGGCTTGGAAGCTCGGCACAAAGTACGTGGTACAATGCGATGCCGGCTTCACCATCCCCGAGTAGGTGCAGAGCGAAAATGCGGTACTCGACGTAAAGCCGGTTCTGGACTGTTCAGGGGGGGGGGAACCAAACTTAGGCTTGACTTAGTTTATGCTTAGGATGGGTTTGGCTTGGTTAGCTTAGACTTGGAGACAAGCTTAGGCCGGCAAAAACCTCCAAAAAAAGATGCCCCCCCCAACATCAATAGCGCACTGCGCACCGCCTGCCCGTGCTGTGACAGGACATTCCCCTCCTTTGCGGCGTGGGGCGCCCCTCGCCCCCTCACCAGGTTGTAGCTGTGGCTGACTGGTATCCATCCGCGCCTCCCGAGCGGGGGGGCCCGGGTTCGACCCCCGGCCGCGGCAAAAATCTTTGCTTTTTTCCAAAAAAACGTCCCTGAACGTGCCCTTTAAATTGGGCCCGTTCCAGGCTGTTGGGCGCCGTCACCGGAAGCGCCGATACAATCCCGTGCGTCCCGAGCCTTCACCAGTTCGCCGGGCTCGGCAATGATGACGCGAAAATATTCGGCAAGGAGGACGTCGCTCCCACAGCGCTCACCGCCGACGGCCAGTGGAACAGCTACAAGGTATTTAGATCGAATCGGTCCCAAAATTTGACAAGAGGCGTATCACAACGTACCACGCCACGGGGTTCTTTCGCATTATCGGGGAACTTTTTTTGTATAAGGTTACCCATGTCTTGTAGCTGAACACAGCAGGTGTTGTAATAGTGTCGTTGGTAAAAAAATAACGATATTTCAACTAGAAGAGGTTAGAGATGTCTTGTAGCTGAACACAGCAGGTGTTGTAATAGCGTCTTTGGTAAAAGATAACGATATTTCAACTAGAAAAACCAACTAAAAAGTTTTGAAAAGAATTTTTTGGCATTTTTACTAACATTTTGTTTAGTTTTCGCGTTTAGGAATAGCAAAAGCGATTTAGAGATCTAAATTAACCACTCGGAATCAGTTTCATGTGAGCAACTTCCGGCCACGGGTCCGACCTGGACCCGCCCGGACCCGGCTGTCCGTGCCCCCTGAAGTTTTCAAAATCTCGAATCGATATTCGATTCCGAGCTGAAACCATTTCCAACCTTTTCAGTGGTGCCCTGCGGCTGGGTCGATGCCGGCGAATTGCGCGCCCCGTCCCCTCGTCGGCTCAAAGTGGGAACATTTCCCCCAAGAAGCATTGTATATTTTGGCCTTAGGTACTACGCCGTGCCCGCCACCAAACAACCTGCGAAATTCTTGTTGCCCAAGTCGTCGATCTACGTGCCCGCCTGCCAATACAGGGGCCATCATTTTGAGAGCAGCGGTTGCGCCCCCCTGGACATTTTCGACAATTCCAAAGTCTACACGGCCTACCGTCTGAAGGTGAGCTTGTGGAGGTGCAATGCTTCGGTTTTACCGGTTGGGGGGGGGGGTGTTTTTTGGTGGGGGGGGGGGTTTTTTTTTTTTTTTTTTTTTTTTTTTTTTTTTTTTTTTTTTTTTTTTTTTTTTTTTTTTTTTTTTTTTTTTTTTTTTTTTTTTTTTTTTTTTTTTTTTTTTTTTTTTTTTTTTTTTTTTTTTTGGGGGGGGGAGGGGTTGGGGGTTTTTTTTTTTTTTTAATTTTTTTTTTAAATTTTTTTTTTTTTTTTTTTTTTTTTTTTTTTTTTTTTTTTTTTTTTTAATTTTTTTTTAAAAAATTTTTTTATCCATTCATGTGCCCTTCCAGTCGAAACCCTACGCCACGTTGCTCAGCGGCGAAGACACGTTGAACATGACGTGGCGCACGTCGGTGGGCAAGGGCAATGCCTTCGCATACCCACGGTGCATCGCCGGCGATAAGCACAAACTCGAGGTCAGCAAGGCGGGGTTGTTTTCGCCCCTCCACCCCGGGGTCGCTATCCAAATTGAAGCCTATCAAGGTCTTTGTCTAACTAGGGAAGTCCAAAATACCCGCCGCACGGTTCGGGCTGAAAATTTGTACACTTATAGAATCGACCACGCTGTTATTCGTCTCGTTTTCCGAATTTGCTACAGAGCCTGAAATTTGATATATTTTAAAGTTTTGGTGTCATTTTTGGGACCCCGGAAAAGGGTTTGTCAGGATATCGAACTTTTTTGTCTGTATTCTTCTAGTTATTTGAAGTAGCCTAACCGATAGAGATTTTTTTCTGATCCGATGGCGATGCTTGTTTTTTGGAAATCTGCCAAAAAGGTCAGAATAATCGAGTCCGAACTTCGGCAATTTTAACTAACGAATCGATTTAAAACTTTCATATCTCAAATTCTAAGGCTCTGTAGCAAACCAGATGGCCTCCCATAGCCGAATACCTTCCTGATGGCTTTAGATACCTCCCCTAGGCGAAATCCCCTTCAAAAACTAAAATAAGGACGGACCGGATACGTGGGAGAAAAAAAAGAAATGAAATGGCTCCCTTGAAAATTTTCATCCACGAAACGCGCGCCACCTGGCTCACTATGTCCAAAATCACCCCAACGTCCGTCCCCCATTCCTTTTGCTAAGGAAAAAACTTTCAAAGTTACTTTAATAATTTAAACTAAAACTTTTTCATAATTTTTTTTATCAGTTTGGGGGTTTCTGATCACGCTCTATCCGAATCCGAAGAGACCTAAGCTCTAGCTCCTTTCCCCTTCGAGTTGAATTCGTCTTCAGACACACACACACACAGACAGACACCTCAAGAAAATTATTATAGTAAATTCGGAAAACGAGGCGATTATCAGCGTGGTCGATTCTATAAGTGTACAAATTTTCAGCCCGATCGGTCTTGCGGGTATTTTGGACCTCCCAACCCCCAAAGTCTTTCACTCGTTCGGCGGATGACTTTGCCCTTTTTTCAGCCGCACCAGATCACCCTGCTTGAGAGCAACATCTTCCTGAACTGTGCGACGAACCCGTACTATAATAATAAGGCGACGACGGCCGAAGAGAAGAAAACCCTCTCAGTCCAGGTGGAGCCGTGCAAGAAGCCCGACGATGCCGACACGGTGCGCAATGCCGAGCATATTTTCTCCGGAAAACGCCGGGCGGGGCCCATTCAACTCTTTATTCCACGCATTGCCTTTCCAGCAGTTCTGCATCGACGTGTCCGGCTTTGATGAAAAGGGGTTCGAGGCTACGATCCTCCGTGAAAATAAAAAGGACGAAAAGCCGCCTGCCGAAGACGAGTCGCTCGTCATCCCAGTTTCCTCGCTTGCCGCTGTTGTCGTAGGTCAGCGACTCGCCCGCGCGTCCCAAAATGGTTCTTTCGGATTCGCGGGGGGGGGACCAATTTTTTTCGGCACAAGTCTAAATTTTTTATGAATAGTGGATGCGTTTCTAAATTATTTTGAACTATTTCTAAGCATGGAAAGTACACAAAAAATTGAACTAACAAATTCAATTTTAGGTCGCAAAAGCCTGTAGAACCTTTAGGATGCGCGGGGGGAGGGGACCAAAGTTGACTTTTTCAAACATTTTTCTAACTTTTTTCGGAAGTTTTTCTGCTTTAAATATAGTTAAAATTTACTAAAAACAGTGTAAAGACACTTTATATTTGATTACTAGGTCAACCGGGACGGCGGTCCTTTTTAGTTTTAAAAAATTTAAGTTTTTGATTTCGCAAATTCGAAAAGTTTTACTTTTTTTGGTGAATCTTCATGCATTATTTCTTCATTACCAGCACCCAAAAATTTTGAAATAAAAATTAGCTGCCGGTCCCCAGATAAACGGGATTGACCGACCAGACCGATTGATCAACCTCTTGAATTCGTTCCAGGTGGCGCCGTTGCCCTCATCGCTCTGGTGGTCTTCAAAAGGCGCCTAATTGTGGCTAGGTATGGTTTTGTGACAGGCCGCCCCACATTATCTAAAATGTCGTGGCTGCTATGAAAATTCCAAAAAAAAACAACACATTTTCCAGGGCGAAAGGTCCGGGTTGAGCAGCTAAAAGTACATTTTAATAGAACTTTTTTGAATAAAAATAAAAGTTGATTAAGAAGTGCCCATGGACAGCTAAATTTTAATGCAGCGTGTTCCCCGTATTTTATTTGGGCTTAAAGGGATACCCAACCTTTTCGGGGCTCAAAAAGCAAAAACCATGACGCGGGCGGGGGTCGAACCCGGGACCCCCGCTTTCAAGACCTGGATGCTATCCATTAGGCCATAGTGGAAAGCCATTGGTCGAGATTTTCTGGCCACAAGGGGGAAAGGAGTCCGATTTCTGTGCGGCACTGGGCATCCATTACCGCACCAAATTCGCGCGTCATTTGTACTCCCCGGAATACATAACTATATATTTGCCGCCAAAACATTGGGTATCCCTTTAAGCAGTTTACCCCCCCACCCCCAGCCGGCACCCAACTACCGTATCTCGGCTCCCTGTTCATCTACAGGTGTGTAAAGTATACCAAAATGTTCGTCTTGCTCTGGCGTGTATTTTGGTATACTTTACCCACCTATAGATAAACAGGGAGCCGAGATACAAAAGTTGGAGGCCGGCTGGGGGGTAAACTGCATTCTAACCTTTATTTGATTTTTCCACCAATTTTGGGCCGCCGTTGACTCGGTGACCCCAGAACTTCTACGTGTAAGCTTTGCAGGAAGGCTGAAGCCGTGGATCGCACCGAGTCCGGCGACTACGCGGCGGGTGGCGCGCTCGAATTCAACGCTGGCTGGCATGATGGATGGGCAGATCCACTGGTCAGGCAAAAACCCGAAAAATCATACCCCTTAGGGGCTCTACGAATTCAAGCAGTGAAAGTTAAAAAGGTTCGATAGCGTATCTTAATCCGCAGAAAATGCGCTTTCGAATAAGATACTCCTTGAGTTCAGACACTGCTTAATTGCAGGCAGACGATCACGAGGAGCGAATGTCCAACTACAACAAGCCGATCCGCCGCATTAACCGCTTCCTGATGCAGACCAAATCGGACAAGGATGTTCCGGAAACGGCCGAGGTGGAACTGCCGCCAGGACTACTAGCCCCCGTGCCGTCCCCAGCGACCGCCACCGATGCCACTGCGACACAATCATCGTCGGCTAACGTCTGAACAGCCCATCCCCCCCCCCCCCCCCCACCCCGCAAAAATCCGTTTTGCTCCCCCTACTCGATCGCTGTCCATTGGCCCCAATTTTCCTTGCACATACCAGATAGTCTCGTGCTCGTCGCACTAGATGCTCGTGCTCAACATGTCCCCCCATATCCCATTTCCGAATAAACGTCGATGCAAACCCAAATGCTTTATTGACACAATCGGTTGGCAGGCAGTCACCTGATATAGAAAATCGCTTGATCGGTTATTTTGCACGCGAGGCGTTGGGAGGCTCATTTCGAATTTTACCACGCTCCCGGCCGGGGGCCTATGCCATTTTTTGGGTTCCTTTTAGCTCTTCGCCCGAATCATGGAAAGCCCGGCTACGGTTTACTTTACCCCCCCCAGCCAGAAGTTTTCGGCTATAATTTTTGATTTTACATTCTTGTAGGCTCAAATCAAAACTCTTAGTATATTTTTCGACGCTCTTTTGAATGGCGTTGAAAAAATCCCGACAAAATAAGCGAAAATACCGACAACTTTGAGACACTTCGGCTGTGGGGGGTAAAGTAAACTCTTACCGAAAGCCCACCTTATAAAAATACCCGCGCGAAGGCTAGGGGTGAAATAAAAAAGGTATGGCCAAAAACTCTCGGCTGGGGGGTAAAGTAAACCATAGCCATAATTTGCAACAAAATCCGGGTTTACAGGCCGCAAAGATCGATTTGAATCCAGCTTGAATGCATTCATGAAATGCACCGGAAACGGGCCCTAATTTGCCTCGGAAGCTGTCGGAAAAGCAAATCGAATCGAGCCTCACTTATATCAACTCGCCACGTTTCTGATGTTCGGCCACCGACTCGTCCACGGCCTCTTCGTGGTCTGGCTGCTCTGCGGCGTGTTCCAGCCCGTCTCCGTGTCCCCGCCGTCTTTCCGCTCTTTGGCGGCTACTGCATCTCGCGCAACGTACGTTTGCTGCTTCCTTAGTTTTGACCAGGATTGATCGCCATCGGCATCTAAATCCTGGCCCCGGTTAGAGTGCAGTTTACCCCCCCGCCCCCCATGCCGTTTTGCCAAAATTTGATATACAGGGTGTGGAAAAAGTTTTGGGTGGCTCGGTTTTATCTCGAAAAATTGCCGTTCTGGGCGATAAAGCGATATTTTTTGTAGTGTCAACGTAGATTTGGAAGTGCTCTATCCGATTCTGGGAAGCATAAGGGTTTCAAAATTAGTTGCCACATGATAACCGTCGTGGAAACACGACCGCCCTAAAAAAGGTACCTTCGTTGCTGCTAGGAAATAGTGACCATAACTCTTCGGATCCTATCACCAGGCTTTCCCCGTCTGGGCTCATGTTGGACTAAGAATAAGCATTATCCTATACCAATACTATATTCGTTTTGACGAGCTTTGCGAAATCCTGGGCGGAATTAATGCGAAAATCAGCACCGTGCCGCGGTTTCCGACCATTTTGGCGTTTTGTGAAGCTCAACTTGGAGTTGTTTTGCTGTCTGCATCGAATGTTTGATCGCGAAACATCCTTATTTACAATAATCATATGCATAAACTATCATTAATGTGGTGCTTCACGATTTAACGGCTGTAAACCCCCCAGCTTCGCAGCTGTTTCCCACACAGCTAGGGAAATTGGTCAGAAATAAGAGCGCGAGAACTCTCTGAATTGAAATCCCGAGACTTTGTAATTTTATGGGGTGTTGGCGGATAGGATTGGCAACATCTTGACCAAATCGCGTGAATTTTGGTTCAGAATCGTGCACAGGGCATACCGTAGGAGCAGCAAAAGCGTTGCGTGCCGACGGCGATTTTAGCGCGACGCTTTTAGTGCATGACTTTAGAAAATTGAATAGATTTTGTTGAGCTTTTGGTGCCCAGTGCTTCTAAAATCGCCATTTTTTAGTATCCCATTCAAAAAACCGAGGGTGGTACGCGCAATTTGAGAAAACATAGCTAATTATGCCACCCAAAACTTTCTCCGCACCCTGTATGTAAAAAACTCTTAAAAATTATCAACATTTTTCGATTTACCCCCCCCCCAGCCGGCCCCCACCTACCGTATCTCAGCTCCCTGTTCATCTACAGGTGTGTAAAGTATACCAAAATACTCGCCAGAGCAGTACGAACATTTTGGTATACTTTAGACACCTGTAGATGAACAGGGAGGTGAGATACGGTAGGTGGGGGGTTGGCTGGGGGAGGGTAAACCGCACTTAAAGCGGCTCTGGCAGCACACCGATTACGGCATTTTGGGGACCGGGCAGAGACGCAGAGTTCTGTCTGCGCCTCGCCTCTGGGCGCGCTCTTTCTCTCCCTGCCGCGACGCACCCGACCGCGACGCTTCCACGAATCGTGGAAGAAGGGGCCTGCTGCCAGAGCCCCTTTAAGCCATGCCACTTTTTGTTTTTCCACCTTTACTTACCAGGTGGTAACTTATAATTTTTTAGCATTTGCTAGAAACCTCTAAACAAATATTTTTAAAATCTTACCCTTTCCTTTGCTTTTCAACCATCCACCCCCGCGGATTCTTCCCCCCGAATAGCCAAGAACCGGAAAAACTTGCGACAAGCACTTTTCTTGAGATACGCGCTTTGCTGCATTGCCATTTCCAATTTCAGGTCTGACCGCTATACTGCCACGGGATCCAATGCACCCCAGAAGAACATCGTCAGCCAGGCTGACGACTACTCGGCGAACCGTTCGATGCGTGCCAAGCGGGCTGTAAGACTGATGTTCACGGTGCACTTACCTTGTGATTTAGTGTCTCGCTAAGGAACCGTTTGCCTGCGTGGCGAAGAGCATAATCGATGGCCTTCCCGCTGGTGCGGCGAGCAAGAAGAGCAGCATCTCAGACGAAGGGGTGGGTTGCTTTCAAAATGTCGAAAAGCATAACGTCGAAATTCTCAATGTCTATCTTTCTGCATGTTCAAATTTCATAATGTTGTACTTGAGAATTTCGAAATGCAAAAGCCAGCCAATTCCTACGCAATAAGATTTCGACATTCTAAATTTTGGCGTTATGAAGAAATTTTGATATTATAAAATTTCGACATTGTGAATTTCCACATTATGATAGTACCAGTGGAAAATGTCCGCTTCGCGGCCCTTTTCCACTGGCCCCCGTCTAGGAACCATATATTCCCCTTCCGTTTTCCAAGCCTGCGGCGCAAGAGCCTGACTCTAGGGACCATTCTCTGGCCTGCGGCGCTAGCTTCTGGTTTTTCTCCCGCATTTGGCCTGCGGCGCTAAAGCCTGGGCCAAGGACCGTTGCTTTGGCCTTTGGCGCTAGAGCGAGGGGCTGGCCTAAATTTCGGATACCGAAAGCCTCGAAATATGTTGTGTTGTTGAACTATCAAAAAGCAAAAAGGTAAATTTGCCGAGGATCCGAACCCTCGCCTATGCGCATGGTGGACCGGGCGTCTAGCCAATATACCAAAGACGGCATGGGGAAGGGTGGCGGGAAAGGCCTCTTCTGTGCTGGGGGCGCACTGCCTGTCAGGGCGCGCATGGGGGTGGGGGAGGGCGTGGCCTAGTGGTCTAAGGCGCCGGTCGCAACTCCAGGCAGAGGGTGCTGGTTCGGTTCCTCTGACCGACAGAAGCCCGTTAGGGTTTTGCACTTTTTTGCAAAAGGTACAGAAGGGGATCCAAAACCGATCTAAAGGGAAGCCCAAGCGGAAAATAAAAATTTTTGCTATTTCCCGGGCTCTAAAAGAAGAAATTGTCTCAGATGGTGCCGATTCGCTCAATAAAGGAATATCATAATAACACAGACATGCACTGCCCAAATTAGCCACAATTCAATGATTTCTAGCCCCTTCATCCGTACAAAGCTGAAAACTTTGACTAGCTTCAGTTGTTCAATTATTAGGGTCTCTCATTCCGCACCTTTTTTTACTTCCCAGGACCGCAGAAGTACCCATTTTGACAGTGCCGATTCTTTTGCGATGAATATCGGTGAAAAAACTCGGAAGAATGCGGCTAAACGCAAAGAAAAACGCGGCGCACAAAGCTCGTATTTGCGCAATTTTTCCGGCTTAAATCCTAGATAAATCCTTATTTTCACGCTAAATCACCCTTAAAACCCCTCCCATAATGTGGGCAAGAGTCTTCTCTTTATTTCGTATCGGTGGACTCCCCACAACAACGTCGTTTTCAAAAGTTATAGGCATTTGAAGTTGAAAATTTGTGAGTTTTTTTTGGCCCCTTTCTTTGCCTCTCTCTCGAAAAATCATGGATCGGTAGGCAAGCATAGTGTGCGCGCGGGCATAGGAACGCTACGGAGCGCCCCCACCTCTCATGAGCGCATTTCTTAATATCTGACAGCCAGTGGGCGTGGTTAACCCGGGAGAGAAGCTTCCTGGTAACTTTACAAAATCGCTTTTTTTAGTCTGAATGCGCCGATAATTTGTAAAACTAATAAGATGCGCGTGATCCCCACTATCGAATACATCAGTGGTCCAAATTACAGACCGAAATTCCATCAGGGCTTCGAGTTATGGCCTGGACACCACTGCTCGTAGCCCATTTTGTTAAGGATTTTCACCATTTTGTTTGTAAAATCGTTAAATAAAGGAATTTCGAAAAACGAAAAAATGCGTGTCTGGCAAATGTGTTTCTCCACCTCCATGCCAAAAATCAGCGCGAAATTCGGCCTGACGGCCGAGAAATCGGCTGCACAGAAAACAGACATACTTTTCTCGCTTATAGGATAGGAAATACGCCGGGTTCGATTTCAGCTTTCGGCGGTATTAATCACTCATTGTCTAGTGCGAGCATTGCCCCATGGAGGAGTGCCAACTGATCGCCGGATCATTGATCGATGATGGCCAGCTCGTGCTAATCACCAAGCCGAACATGCGCGCCGTGGCCAAATGTACCCCGAAGGATGATACTTGCGTAAGCTCGGCTTACCCGTTCCTTAGTCGTTTATTTAGGGCAATACCGACTCTGCCACTTGCCTGAAGCCCGTCTCGTTCGTTACAGCTGGCCATGGTATCCGATGTATTGAGACGAAAGTTACGCCCTTTTGCAGAGCATTCGGAGCTGTTCCCGTTCAACCTGTGCACGCGAAAGATGCTCGTCGACGGCACTTGTCCAAAAGATCTACTGTGAGCAAACGAGCATGTGGCTAAAGTCTAGTTGACCCTGCCCCCCTCAGCCAGTATTTGCCCCCAAGTTGTTGAATTAATGCCTGGAATTCCAGATACCCCCCCACCCCAGTCGGCCCCAACTTTTTTATCTCGGCTCCCTGTTCATCTAAAATACAGGTGTACCAAATACCATTTATACCCAATGTAATGTATACCAAAATGCTCGCCAGAGCAAGACGAACATTTTGGTATACTTTAGACGCCTGTAGATGAACAGGGAGCCGAGATACAACAGTTGGGCCGGCTGGGGGGGTATCTGGAGTCTTACCAATGCCTGGAGCATCTCAAGATGGTCCGCTCGTCAAACACTCTATTTCAACATCCCTTTTTTTTGAAGAAAAATAACAAACACAAATTTTAGAAGCAATTTATTGCGAACTGTAGTCTTGTGGGGACAGGGCGACCACAGCATTCCGCCCTTTACCAGTTGTGTTCGTTTGACCGGGACAGGATGGCAGGCATACAGGGGAAGGGAGAATCTGCGCTCTGGCCCCGCCCCCTGTTCTCTTCCCCCGTGGCCTATAGCCTAGTCTCACTCTTTCGCCGCCTATTCCGCGCCCCACCCCTCCCCTGTGTGTCTGCGCCCCGTCGTCTGGCGCACTATCCGCCAGCCTACTCACGAACACCGCGGAATCATGTGCGACGGGGCGCCCCTTTCGACGCTTACGACAGGGAAGGATGGCCGTCGGCCCAATACAAACTAATCTTTATTTCAGCTCTATTTATTTTTCCTTCTCCATTTCTTTGAAAAAAAGTATGTGGAAATCGAGTATTTGACGGGAGGAAGATTTTGAGGTACTTCGCGCATTAATGGGATGACTTGGGGGCAAATACTAGCTGGGGAATAGACTCTTACCTAGACCAATCTTTTTTTTTCAGAAGCCGATCACCGTACGTCGCCGATAAAATCGTCATTACACTCGACTACCACGTCCAATGCGAGCCCGGCTTCATGGTCCCAACGTGGGTGCCTCCCCCATTCGACCTCTCGACAACGATAGGCTCATCGCTCCGCGAAAGCGGATCTACTCTCCAAAGCGGCGTTTTGGTGTAATTCGGCAAAAAAAATTTCATTTGAGGATCGCCAGCGACATCGGCTGTGTCCCAAGTTTGCACCAGGCCGCCGGTCTATCTCCGGATGACCCAGAAGTGTTCCCTGATGATGTCAAGGATTTGGAAAAGATCCAGGTATTTACACATTTGCAGCGCGAAAAATTCCTTTAGTTTTGTGCGAAGTTAACGCAGCTTCCCAACCCGCTCAACTGCGTGCCGCGTCCGCTGAAGGGTTTCACGTAAGGGACACATCGAACATAGTCGAACGTTTATCAGGGAAAAACTAACTTTCCATATGCAGCCTGGGTCCTTTCGCATTATCGGGGGAGGGGCAAATTGTTTCTTAGGAGCTGATTTTTTAAATATAAGTAGCGAAAGCGTTTCTAAATGCTTTTTTACTAGCTTTAGCCGTGAAAACTTTACAAAAAAGTTATTGAAAATGCGAAAATATCGATTCCTCGACTAAGAATGGTTTTTAACTTTAATTTTTTACCAAAAACATTATAAAACGCTAGCTAACAAGTTACTAGACATTTCTAGGCTTATCTAACCCCCCCTTTTACGCGAAAGGACCCAATTTTGTTTGGCCGTGCCATCTGAAAATATGCCATGGAAATTGCCTCTAATTCTTACCTCCTCTCTAACACCGCAAATATCTAATTCGAACCAACGAACCAGAACCGTGTGACCAGTCTTTTTTTCAGTCTGGCCGCCGGGCTGCCCAAGAGCGTCGCCCCTGCTGCCGAGACCCCGTGCCTCTACCCCGGCCGAGGAGCCAAGAAGGCGGAGGATTGTGTCCTCATGGACCTACTTATCCCACCTACTGACACTCAAAAGGAACCATTAATAATACCTGGTGATCGAAACGGGGTACGCGTGTCTTTTTGCATCGAACCGTTTTTTTTAAGATCGGCCCGTACGCCACGCTGCAGTCGACCACCGACAACTTGGCGCGGAAATGGACGCCGTGGGAGGAGCCGCATCGAATGTTCCCTCGTTGCATCGACATCAGCGACGTTGTGGGGCTGACGGTAGGATCGGCTTTCCCGAGTTATTTTTTCTGGGTTGCAGCAGCCGCACGTCGATGAAGTCCAGAACGACTTCTTCTTGAACTGCGAAACAAATCCCTACTACCAGAGGGCCGTGACGACGCGTAACGCGGCGCAGATGGCCGCCCTCAAGATTGAACCCACCAAGTGTGACACGATGCGAAGTAGCCGTAGGGTGCGTATCAACCGGTTGGCGTACACGATTTTTAAAATCAAGATTTCGAAACCCGCCATTTCAAAAAAATCACCATTTCGAAAAAACACCATTTAGAAAACATTATTTCGGAAACTCACGGTGTCGAAAAGTTACAAACAAAACTCACAGTAGATTTTTCGACGCTCTATCGAATGGTACTAAAGAACTTTGAAAGAATATCCAAAATCTGGAAAAATTGCACTAAAAATCCCCCCACCTCCGCTGAATTGCCAATACCTTCAATTGTACCAAAAGCCCTTTCAGCTTTTCTGTCGCTGGCTCGATTTCGCCAGCACGACTGCGGTTCCGGCTGAGGAGAGTCCGGACCTCGCCCGCCAAATCTTTGCCTACCCACTCTGGATCATCTACGATGCTGTACTCCTTGCCGCCGGTCGGTGACCCCTGTTCCGGTTAAAGTTTAGATCCCCCAAGCCACAACTTTTCAGCCATACGTCCTAAGAAAGTCCTAAAAATTACTATTACTAAAAGTTGTTTTCTTACGCCAAAAAATGTTAGAAAATGTTTTATAACAATTTTAAGTCTGGATTTTCTCTAATTAATTATTCCTGGTCCAAAGTGAGTTTTCGTATCTCGACGGCCGCTACGCGCGCCTCGGGCGCCCCGATTTCGAAACCCTGTAGGAGCTCGCGCCCATCCGAAGCGACTAGGCCCCGGCGTGGCACGATGCCTTATTTTTAGGCTCAGATAGATTGTGTAGTGTCAAGCCAAACCCTTATCGAATACTTATCCGTCTTTTGCAACACCTAAAACTGACTTTCCGGGGGCGAGAACATGGTATATAAGGGCGGTTTGAAGCCTAACTTTGAAGCGGTATATCTCGTTCCAGAAGTGTTTCCCAATCGTTTTTTCAACTGATCCTCAACCAGCTCGACCTGCTGAGCATTTTGACATATAAAAATCGAAAATCCGTTTAGTGACCATATAACGCAATTTAGCCGGGGGTTCTTAGACTCTGACCCCTAATTCTGCTCGAATTGCCTTATCCCCGACGGTTTTCAGTGGTGTTCGTCTTCATCTTCTACAGCGTGCACGGTTGCCGCCAATGGCGCAAAATTGTTGTCGAAAATCGCAATTGGCGACGAGTGGGTGTAAACTGCTCTGACAGATCTCGAACGGGGCTGTGGCTCACAAGGAGTCGCTTTCAGGTGCTTTTGGAGTTTCTGGACGGGACCTAGCTAGTTCGATAGAGAAAAAATTCTGAACACCATACCATTTTCAAAAAGTGCTGATCGATAAAGGAATTTTAGAAAATTTAATTTAAAGTTCGCGCTTTTTTTCTAGTTTTCAGGGCTGGCAAGGCGCCATTCATAACCTTCCGCCAAGACCTCCATCATGGGTTGCATTGGCGTATTGGTAGCGCGCTTGCCTACCAACTTTTTCAAATTTTTTTGCCTCGGATTCGCATCTTCGCGCGGGTTAACCTTTTGCTTTTTGTTTCTTGAACCCGTTATCGGTGCATAAAATTTTAATTAGCAAAAAAGCAAAGAGCTAACGATAAATAAGAATCGAACTTGTGGCAAAAGGCCAAAAAAAAACTTCGTAGGCCAACGCACTAGCCACTTGGCCATGCCTTGGACGGGATCCATGACGCGTGAAGTCCCCATGTGGCAGGGGTGGTCGACCGCGGCAAATCACCTCAAATCACCACAAGGGTCCGGATACCGGGAACCTTTTTAATTAAATCAAACCAGGGTTGAAAAGCCGCTTCGCGACTTTTCAACCCTGGCCCCGTATTGGACCAATGAAAGTTTATACTTTGCATAATTCGGCCCGCCCCACGCTGAAAAAAGTGAAAAATGGCGCTCTCTACTCCTTTATATAGGCTACCCCCACTTCCGGAGTATGCTAATTTTTCCTAACAAAGAGGCTCTCGGATTTTTCAACGAAAACTAAAATTTAATGTCGAAAATAAGAGATTTTGATATATCTGATATGCGTGCAGTCATCTCCAGACCATTACGCGCCTAATGACGTATCAAACATGCCTCTAATTATTCTCGTTCTTGAGATACGACTGGAACAACCTGACGGAAGTTGCATGCAAAGTGTTACGGACACACACACACACAGACTATTTTTTTATATATAGTAGGATTTTCTAAAACACCTTTATCGATCAGCACTTTTTGAAAACGGGATGTTGCTCAGAATTTTTTTCTCTAGCGAACTAGCTAGGTCCCGTCCCGAAACTCCAAAAGCACCTGAAAACGACCCCTTGTCAGTTGACCCCCCGCAGCCACGGGTCGGGATCCGCACAGACGACCGCTCCGGTATTGCTATGGCGCGCCCTTTCCACCGTAACCCCCGGAGCCGCTCCTCCGCCCCTCTCGCGTTTTCCAGCCAACTTTCCCCTAACCTAATAGTGAAAAAGAGAATAATAGAGTGGAATAATAATAATAATGATTATTAGAAGGGGTTTTATTGAAATCGCCGTAAAGGGAAACCAGTCTTGAGGTTTTTTGCGGTCGTTCCAGCTAAATGTACGTTTTTTCAACATTCTATCTCAAATTGTCGATAACGCTGTAGGCAATGCGAAGATGTCGATGGAGCCCTAAACTGAAAAGTTAACAGTGCGTGATAACATCCGTGATAGGTTACTCAATGACGTCATGCAGCAGTATCGATGGCGTGTGCTGCGTTTTTCAGCTAGGACTCTGCGATGGTTTAGGGCGTAGCAGCTGCATCATCGATGATCGCACTGTTACTTTACAATAGCAGAACAGCATGAAAAGATATACGAGTTCGCCCTGATGATAGCATGCTGGGTGAAAATCGTTAGAATATTCCAAGGCGGGCGTTCAATCGGTTCGGTTGCTGACGCTTCCAAGTCTGAGCTTCATACCCAAATCCTTACACAGCCAGCAAAGAAATCTACCTCGTTGAATTCAGAAAGAAAAACCTCGCAGAAAACCCCCGCGTATCTTTAATACGATTACAAAGCTAGGTCAAAGATATAACTATTCACGAAGACAAATCATCAATCGATTTAACTTTCCAGTTTCCGGCTCCATCGACATCTTCCTCCTTCCAAAAGCGTTATCGACAATTTTAATTTAACTAACTTACTATCGATAGAAAAAGAAGCAGCCTGTTGAACCCTAGGCGCGAAGATTGTGATGAAACGACGTACTTTTAGCTGGAACGACTGCAAAAAACCGCAAGGCTGGCTTCCCTTTACAGCGATTTCAATAAAACCCCTTCTAATAATCATTATTATTATTATTCCACTCTATTATTCTCTTTTTCACTATTAGGTTAGGGGAAAGTTGGCTGGAAAACGCGAGAGGGGCGGAGGAGCGGCTCCAGGGGTTACGGTGGAAAGGGCGCGCCATAGCAATACCGGAGCGGTCGTCTGTGCGGATCCCGACCCGTCCGCAGCCGACCCCCACCTACCGTATCTGGGCTCCCTGTTCACCCTACAGGTCTGTAAAGTATACCAAAATGTTCGTATTGCTCTGGCGAGTATTTTCGGATACTTCACACACCTGTAGATAAACAGGGAGCCGAGATACAAAGTTGGGTGCCGGCTGGGGGGGGGGAGGGTAAACTGGGTTCTGTTTAGAAATAGAACAGTACCGTAAAATGAACTCTTACCCTCGAACGGTTTAGCTCAACGACCCGAGGCTGAAGCCCGGGACGCCTGAAGCGCTTGCGGCCATGGACAAGTTTGTGAAGGATGCGTGTGAGGTGAGTGTGGAGTTTTCGGTGCTGGGCTTTTAGTGGGGGGCCAATTTTTCGGTATATGTACAGGGTGTCCCAAAAAACCCTACCCCTCCTAGCGACTCGGAGAAGTGTCCGATTTTGACGATTTAGATATCTACCGAACGCTCTCGGAAAGGCGAGAAAACAGGCACTTTTCGTTTCTCAATATGGGCATTTTTATTCACTGAACTTAGGGCCATCCTACTATATATAAAAAAATAGTGTTTGTGTGTGTGTGTGTATATTTGCATGCACTTCCGTTAGGATGTTCCGCTCCTACAGCCTCGGGGAAGGGTTTTTTGAATAGGGAAGAAACGACAATAAGTTTAGAATGGTCCGGAATCGACTGCACACACATAAAAATTTTGAAAAATTGCGGTTTTCGCTATTAAAAATAGGTTTTTGTAAAAGCCTGTTTGTTAGGGGAAATTAGCATGCGCCGGAAGTAGGAAGAGCCTATATAAAGGGACAGAGAAGCCGTTTTTCACTTTTTTTTCTTGCTAGAATTCAGGAAGAAACATGTAAATTCAGGACTTTCACAGGTTCTGGACGGGGCCAGGGTTGAAAAGCCGCGAAGCGGTTTTTCAACGCTGGTAATCCAAGTAAACTGCAAATTTTATGCAAAATCCGCATGTGAATTGCTTGCTCAGTTAACAGGACAATGCGGATTTGCGCTTTTTCAGAAATTTTGAATATCGGTTAAATTTACAGAATCTCGAATTACAAAATCTCGAATGATTAGAATCGCGAATGATCAGAATCGCGAATTTACAAAATCTCGAATGACAGAATCCCGAATGGTCAACATCACGAAGGAACAAATTTCGAATGCCAGGATTCCCACGGATATCCTAACGTAGTTTCGTCTGGCTCGATCCAGCATCGATTTTTTTTGTATTAGATAGAACCGAGTAGGCTATGGGTATGCCCTGGCGAGGGATCGTCCTTTTTGAGCATCATACTTTACAAATCCTACTATCCACTATATATAAAAATAGCGTCTGTGTGGGGTGGGGTTAGACGGGGCCAGGGTGAAAAAGTCGCGAAACGGCTTTTCAACCCTGGTGATTATGATGAACATTAGCGTTAAGTACTCTCGGTTCTGGGTACTCCACTTACTTTGGTTTCATCTACTAGGCCGTTAGTGGAAATTTTGATCCAAAGTGTGTTCTGCTGGATCAAAATTGGTTCATTGGAGATTCTGTAAATTCGAGATTCCAATCATTCGAGATTTTGTAATTCGAGATTCTGATCGGAAAGCGAATATCGAGCGAGGACAAATAAATTTTGTAAAACCAAAAGCGCTTGTTTTCACGCCGTTAGAAGGGCTTTCGAATAACGTAAAAATCAGCCCGATCTGAGCTTTCTCTGGACCGCTAGAGGGGTCGATTTTTTTGGGACAACCTGTTGGCTACGCGGAGGCGAACTTTTACGCGGGGCGTGGGGGGGGGGGGCAATTTTTATTATTTCGCCGGTTCTGTTCTATTTCGCGTGGGGGAAAAAACTGTGCGGGGGGGGGGGGAATTTTCTTCGTTTTTCTTATAACTCTTTTATATGATGCTATTTTGAATTGCAATTAAAACTCTTAGTATATTTTTTGACGCTCTATCGAATGGCATTAAAGAAATTTTTGAAAGTTATCGAAAATGTCGAAAAATAGCTTTCGACGCCACGATCCCATGTGGAAACACCGAATAAACCTTGTTTTTGCTATAACTATTTTATAAAACAATATTTTTAGATGAAATTAAAACTCTTGGTATATTTTTTGATGCTCTATCGAATGACGGGTTCAAAATATCGTAAAACTGGCGAAAATGCCGAAAACTAACATTCCGGAACCAGTTTCAATATTTTTTTGTTTTTTTTTTCTATAACTTTTTTATATTACAATATTTTTAGCTAAAACAAAAACTCTTAGTATAATTTTTGATGCTCTATCGAATGGTGTTGCAAAAATCTCGAGAAAATAGCGAAAAGATGGAAGGTTCCGCGAAGCATATTTCCCCCCCCCCCCGCACAGTTTTTTCCCCCACGCCAAATAGAACAGAACCATTTCGCCTATACCACCGACGTGCTAATAATATAGTGTGTATTCTCATAGTAGTTTTAATAGTTTCTGAGCGCTAGCCAGTTATCAAAAAATCACCTAAAACTTTTGAAAATTTGAAAATTCCGGCTTTTTCGGCACTGATGCCCATTCACGCACCCCTTTGTAGCTCGGGCCCTACGGCGTCATCCGCCAGTATAACAACAAATGCGACTTCGATCCACAACTGGAAGCCACCGAATTCGCCAAGCATCCCGAGAAGAACCGTAACCTGGTGCGTCGACACTGACAAGGAACCCCCCACCAGCTACAAGTTCGACTTTGGTTAGTGGGATATTTCATCTTGTGCCGTTTTTACGCTGATTCCGTATATGCGGCTCATTTTTGCCAGGCCCCTTTAGTTTTCGCGTTATGCTCCTTTTGATCATAAACTGAATAGTTTTGGGCCAAAAACGGAGCGCTGAGCTTCAAAAATGCCTAGAAGCCTCAAAAGTTTGGTCAGCTGACAAGGGTAGCTCTTAAAGTCTCGGTGGGATTTCAAAACGAGCCTGAGCAGATCTTACGCAGAATTTTTGCTGATTCCGAATATGTTTTCAAAAACAGCGAAATAGCTCGGATTCAAACGTTATAACGTTTTTAACTCTCATTTAAGCAAAAATACAAATAGAGCCAAAAACAGAAGTGTCAAAACGATACAGCCACACTTTACATATCATTAGCATCAGGTTTAAGCTTGCAAACTACATGCTAATTGCTAAGACGAATTTCAAGTCTATGCAGATTGGCATCATGTGGCTCTATCATTTTGACACTTCTGTTTTTGGCTCTATTTGTTCTTTTCCTTATAAAAATCGCGTGCTCTATTCTTGAAAAACTTCAACTAGATGGAAAAATGCGCCTTTTCGAGCGCTACAAGACCTGCTAGTTAGCTTGGCGTCAAACTCAACGAGGGTCGATATAATAGCGTTCAAAGAGGTGGCTCTAGCGTTTTGACACACACTGTATTCCAAATCAGCAAAAAATTCTGCGTAAGATGTGCTAGGTCCCGTTTTCAAACCCACCGAGACCTTAAGAGGTTCCCTTGTGTGAAATGCTTGCCACTCTGCGTAGAGCTTTTTTATCAAAATCGTATCCTACTATATATAAAAAAATAGTGTCTGTGTGTGTGTGTGTCTGTGTGTGCCACTTTGCATCGACTTCCGGATGTCTGTCCGGAGGTCAATTCGATAGGGGATGAATTTTAAGGCAAGTGTGATACGTCATTAGATGCGTAATGGCCTGGAGATGACTGCACGCATATCAGATTTAACAAAATCACCTATTTTCGACATTAAATTTAGGTTTTTGTAAAAACCTCTGTTAGGATAATTAGCATAGACCGGAAGTGGGCCGTCGCCTATATAAAGAGGCAGAAAGGGTTATTTTTCATTTTTTTTTGTCTACTGAATGGAGGACAATTATGCAAAGGGCAGAATAGTATAGGCTCCGAGACGGGGCCAGGGTTGAAAAGTCGCGAAGCGGCTTTTCAACCCTGGTTTTTTTTAATTAGCAAGCTATCCCAAGTCAAAATTTCAAAACTTGCTTTCGTCCGAATTTTAAATGTGGAGGTTGTTCTTGCTCTCTGGGATAAACGCAAAGGGGTAGCAAAGGTTCAGACAATGATTATTCACTCCTTCCCGAACTTACTTATGAAAAAAGCAAAAAAATTTGCACGCGGCGGGTTCGAACCCCAGCCCCCTGCTTGGAAGGCGAAACGCTAATCAATCGGCCAATCGAACGTTAACGATTTGAACATCAAACCAGGGTTTCCGCTTCACGACTTTTCAACCCTGGCTTTTTCTATTATTCTTTCTTTCTATTCCTCGCTTTGTATAATTGTCCTGAATTCAGATGATCAAAAAAAGAAAAACTGCCCCTTCTCCCCTTTATATAGCCGGTCTATGCTAATTACTTCCTAACAAAGAGGATTCTCCATCTTTTTTACCGCGGCCTAATAAATTTCATAATCTTTTGAGGTTTTGCCAGGGTGTTACAGAAAACAGCTTATATCTCGAAAACCAAAATGCCTTGGCAAAAATGAGTTGCATATTCGGAATCAGCTTAAAAAACTGCATCCGATGAACTACCTCACGGACCAAAGTCGAACTTCGAGCTGGTTGGGTTTCCTTGTGAGTTGCTCTCGTGGACCACCTAGCTAGGGAGGTGCGCTAGGTGATCCCCGAGATTCTGGATGGGACCAAGTGGCTATCGGGTAATCGGCTATGGCGAAGAAGATACCATTTTCAGAAATTCCTTAATGGATTTTGTATTTATTAAAAAACCGATTTTCCTCGGATGGCAAAGGTTTGCGCTTGCCCTTGTCACCGCCTTCAAACTGTCCCTTCCCAGTGGTGGTCTACCATAGTGGTGGTGTGCTGCGGTGATTGAACCGAAGGGTCAGGGGGTACACATAGGGTAACGGAGGGGGGGAATAAAATAACGGGGGGGGGCACTCATTATCATTAAATTTGCAATTACTGTAGGATTTTGCCAGTGCCATTCGATAGAGCGTCGAAAAATATACTAAGAGAATTAATTTGAGCCCAAAATAATGTAATGGGAATTTTTTATTGAATAAACAAAAATTGAGGAAACTCTATGGGCAGCAAATAGGATAACGGGGGGGGAAAGTCAAATTTTCGAAATTTTCGAAATTTTCGGTATTTTGAAAACGTCATTCGATAAAGCGTCGAAAACTGCCCTAGGAAAATTAATTTCAGCCCGAAATAATGTAAATGAAATTTTTTATCGAATAAACAAAAATTGATCAAAATCCATGGGCAGCACATAGGATAACGGGGGAAAGCCAAATTTTTGAGATTTTCGCTATTTTGAAAACGCGAATCGATAGAACATCAAAAAATATACTAAGAGATTTTTTTACAACGCGAAAAAATGTATTATAGAAGTTTTATAGCCTAAAAACTATTTTTGAAAACTATGGGCAGCACATAGGATAACAGGGGGGATTTTTCGGCGTTTTGAATATTTTCGATATTTTGAAAATGCCATTCGATAGAGGACCGAAAAATATACTAAGAGTTTTTTTTACAGCCCAAAAAAAGCATATTTAAAAATACTTTTATCATATAGAAAGTTTGAGTGCCCCCCGTTATTTCCCCCCGTTACCCTATGTGTACCGGGTCAGGGTTCGAGGCTTGATTCTTTTTGGATATTCTTTTCGAAATCGATGCCATGTCTTCTGGAATACCTATAAATTTTTTTAATTGGATTTTCCATGCTTGTTTGGTAAGACGGCTCCCTGTTTATCTACAGGTGCGTAAAGTATTAGGTCGTCACGAAAGTTTTGTCGGTTTTTGCTTCAACTCAATTTTTCGAAAAGCTTCCGGGCGTAAGAAGGGTCTATTCCGACGAAAACCTCACGAAAAACGGATGCTAAAGTTTATTTTTGCTGTATCGCGAAAACTACTCTAGCTGGCGGGCTATGATTGAGGATTGTGGTTATTTTAGGTCCAACCAGGGTTGAAAAACCGCTTCGCGGCTTTTCAACCCTGGCCCCGCCTAACGCACATCATAGTCAAAAATGTGCATATTTCTTCCCGAACCGATCGCAAAAAAAAATGAGAAAAGGCCGCCTTCTGCCCCCTATATAGGCTTTCCCCACTTCCGGCGCATGCAAATTGCCTCCTAACAAAGAGATTTTTGGATATCTTTACAAAGAACTCCATTTTAATAGCGAAAACAGTAATTTTTAAAAACTTTGATGTGTGTGCACGCATCTCGGCATCATTACGCACCTAATGACGTATCATACGTACCCGATAAACTTTTCCCTGAGGCTGTAGGTGAGAGACAACCTCACGGAAGTTGCATGCAAATGCACACACACAGACACTATTTTTTTATATACAGGGTGTCCCAATAAAAAAGGTCACGCTGGCATTTTGTCATTTCAAATCCGATCGACTTGAAATTTTGAACAGAGCTGCGGAAGGGAATTTAAAATGTTCACAGAAACTTTCGGCCTGATCGGTGCAGTAGTTTTCGAGGTATAGCAAAAATAAACTTTATTTTGCGTTTTTAACCTGGATTTCGTCGGAATTGAGCCTTGGAATCTATGGCAAAAATGAAGCGCCGACCCTTTTTTATCCCGGAAAATTTTTTATTTAGCGAAATTCGGCTTGTAATGGGGCTATTTAAGTAATTTTAACAAGGTATGATCCACCCTGATGTTAAGAAGGATGAGGGATTTAGAGCCGGAAAATTATGTTAATTGATGCAAAGTCCAAAAAGATAGCCGAAATAATGAAGTGAAAGTGTTAGAAAAACAGTATTTTTGCAATAACTCGAAAACTACATTACCGATCGGGCTGAAAGTTTCTGTGAACATTTTAAATGCCCTTCCGCAGTTCTGCTCCAAATTTCAGGTCGATCGGATTAGAAATGGCGAAATGCCAGCGTGACCTTTTTTATTGGGACACCCTGTATAGTAGGATACACCTCTGGTCAAAATTTGGGACCGATCGGATGTAAGACGGCGAAATTCCGGATGGGACGTTTTTTATGGGACACCCTGTATAAGGGAGGGGAACCGCTTTTTCACAATGGACTGGTAGCGCTCTATAGCGACGTACATCCCGCGAAATCGTCCATCTGCAAAAAGGGACGCCCCCAGTTTTCAGCTGATTCCTTGCCCTGATGCTACTCGTGTCCGGCTGCAAAATTTGAAAGCCGGGGCCTCCGACTACATCAATGCAAACATCTTTAAGCTACCCGGTACGTTAATTGGGATTCGCGTGGCGGCGAAGATGGGGGGGAAGGGGTTGCGGATTCCCGGCGGAAACAAACCTTTTCAGCGATGCCCAGATAACTAGAGAGTGTCCTAAAAAAGTACCCCCCTCTAGCGGCGCGCAGTCGATTTTGGTATCTATCGCAGGCTCTCCAACGGCGAGAAAACGAAATGGCTAGATTTTCGACGTTTTTGGCTCAAGTTTAGAAAATCCCCCCCCCCGCCCAGCCGCAGCTTTTCAGGCCAAAGTCCTACTGATACACCATTCCTTTCAGAATCTCGAATTTTCGGAATCTCGAATTTTTGGAATCTCGAAATATGCCTCTGCTGGATTTACCGAGATTCTGATTTTCGAGATTTTGATTTTCGAGATTTTGACAGATTTGACTTGGTGTATCTTAAAATGTTCGCCATGGTCAAATTACTATTCCTAACAGTTGTTTCCAGTACATCAAAAATTCTAGAAAAATTTTTATAACGATTATAGATTTGGGTTCGGAAATTTCGCAAATTCGGACATGAGATAGCACATCTCGCGCAGTTGAAAATAAAAGAACATAGTAAAGCTAGGCCTCAGGTCCAGCGGTTTCGCCATGTTCACGTCGGATAATGATTTTTCTGGGGATCCGGTTTGTATTTTTGGATGTAGAACCCAAATTATGTAAAATAGCCATTCTGTAAATCGGCATTCTGTAAATCGGCATTCTGTGAATCGACATTCTGTAAATCGGCATTTTGTAAATCGGCATTCTGTAAATCGGCATTTTGTAAATCGGCATTCTGTGAATCGACATTTTGTAAATCGGCATTCTGTGAATCGGCATTATCAGCCTATACCAAAAATTTTATCGAATTTTTAGAGGAATTTGGAGTAAGCGATTTGTGGCATTTTAGGTATTAAAAAGGCTTGTAACTTTTTAATTAGAGGGGTTCCGCAACTTTTGAAAACGGATTCGGAATCAGCGAAAAATTCTGCACAACATGTGCTATCTGACGAAACGAATTCTACTTCGAGCATCAAAGGGTTACAGTTAGACCTGCCCAGCTGTCAATTGTACCAAAATGTAGCTCTTGTACTTATCATTGTTATAAAATTTTTCTAGCAATTTTTTTATGTAAGGGAACAGCTTTTGGTACAATAACTCGACCACGGCGAGAATTTTGAGATACTCTACGCATTAATAGGATTTATGGCTGAAAAGTTGCGGCTGTGGGGGAGTCGGGGTTCGAAGACTCTTACCAAAGCACATACTATACTTCTGCGTCAAACACGGTTGCAGGATGCCCGGTCAACTGGGTTACCACGCAAGCACCATTGCCCGAGACTCGGGGCGATTTTTGCAAGATGCTCGAGACGCTGGCGGTGGGATTGCCGGTAACGCAGCCACCTACACCACGGGAAACACATTTCTTTAGGGTATAACGGAGAAGACCGAGACACCGTCGGTGTTCTGCCTCAACAATTTCGATCCCGTGGAAAACGGGGCCAACTATTGGCCGCAGCCGGGCCTCCCCGGAGTCATCACGCGCGACACCAATCAGTGCCGCTTTGGTGACTTCATGCCGTACCAGCAACATGTGAGTGACTTTCAGGTTCTATCTCTCTCTCTCTCTCTCTCTCTCTCTCTCTCTCTCTGTCTTTCGGTCTCTCTATCTCTCTGTCTCTCTTTCCCTCTCTCTCTTGCTTTCTATGTCGCTCTCTCACTTTCTCTCTCTATCTCTCTGTCGCTCTCCATCTCTCTCTCTCTCTCTCTCTCTCTCTCTCTCTCTCTATCTCTCTCTCTGTCTTTCGGTCTCTCTATCTCACTCTCTGTCTCTCTTTCCCTCTCTCGCTCTTGCTCTCTCTATCTCTCTCTCGCTCTCTCTCTGTCGCTCTCCATCTATCTATCTCTCTCTCTCTCTCTCTCTCTCTCTCTCTCTCTCTCTCTGTCTCTCAGTGTCCTTGGTAACGGACTAGGAATCCTCCCAGCCCCAACTTTTCAGCCAGACGTCCTTTTAATGCGTGGAGTTTATCAGAATGTTCGCCCGGCCGAAATTAATAGACCGTCTGGCCGAAAAGTTGCGGCTGGGGGGTTCCTCGAGTTTAGCCCAAATTTGGATAAGGGGACCGTCTTGGTAATGCAAATATTATAGATGACAAACAAAGGCGGTGTCCGCACCTACACCTGCCAGAACCAGGCGGTCCAGGTGGGGGAGGGCGGGTACTGCACCGAGATTTCTCGGCCCCACGTCGTCCACCCATCCTGTCCAGAGGACATCGGCGGCAAGGCGCGTGCGATGGCTCGCCTCACATCCCACGGCCGGCAGGAAGACTTTGTATGGTTTCCGTTTCGGCTAAACTCTAGTTGGCTAAAGTCTCGCTAATTTTTGAAAACCTTGGGTTTTATAACAATAAAACTAGTGTTAAAAATAGCCAAAAAGGCGCCGCAGGTAAAACATGTTTTGAAAAAATAAAATCATAAGGGGGTACTGCTATTTCGCGTGGGGGAAACTGTGCGGGGGGATTTTCTTCGTTTTGTTATAACTCTTTTATATGATGCTATTTTGAGTTGTCATTAAAACTCTCAGTATATTTTTTGACGCTCTATCGAATGGCATTAAAGAAATTATTGAAAATTATCGAAAATGTCGAAAACTAGCGTTCGACTCCACGATCCCATGTGGAAACACCGAATAAACCTTGTTTTTGCTATAACTATTTTATAAAACGATATTTTTAGATGAAATTAAAACTCTTAGTATATTTTTTGACGCTCTATCGAATGACTGGTTCAAAATATACAGGGTGTCCCAAAAAAAGCACCCCCCCCCCTCTAGCGGCACGCAGTCGTGTCCGATTTTTATCGTTTAGGTATCTATCGAAAGCTCTCGATAGGGCGAGAAAACAAGGAGGGTTCATTTTCTTTATTATGTATTTTTATTGGCGAATTTTACCTCCAAAAACCATGAAAACGGCAGATTTACGCGAGATCTGCATGCTAATTGCGAAATTCCTATCGAAAAGCTGCCTGTTCTTTAGAAAAACGTTGAATATCGGACGAATAAGAATAAATCTTAGAAAATCAAGCCGGCTTGTTTTCTCGCCTTGTCGCGGGCTTTCGAATGGTATAAAAATCATCCTGATCTCAGCTTCCCCGGGACCGCTAGAGGGGGGTGCTTTTTTTTGGGACACCCAGTAGAAAGATGGCGAAAATTCCGAAAACTAACGTTCCGGAACCATTTTCATTAGTTTTTTTTTGTTATTGCTATAACTTTTTTATATTACAACCAGGGTTGAAAAACCGCTTCGCGGGGCTTGGGCGCTGGAATGCGGCCTATGCATGAGAAATTTGACTTTCCGATAGCTCGGGTCCTTCGGACCCCTCCCTTCCTCCGACCACACCCGCGCGTGCAACTTGCAAGGATGAGGAAATTTGTATTTTTTGGAATTATGCAAAGTATCCCTCCCTGGCGCCGGACACACACACACACACACACAAAGATACGCGACCAAATTATATAAGGTAGGACCAGGGTTGAAAAGCCGCTCCGCGACTTTTCAACCCTGGCCCCTCTGAGCCCATCTTATCCTGCACATTGCATAATTCGACCGAATTTGGATGAGAAATAATGAAAACCAGATGGTTACAGTCGCTTCGCGACTGCAACCATCTGGCCTTCGGGCTACCCTACATGTCCCACTACACCACATCCTTTCCCACCTCCATCAATACCCCCGATAGCTGAAATCCCGTACAAAAACTACCTAAATACCTCCCCGATGGTTTCAGATACCCGCCATGGCCGAAACCCCCTTCAAAAACTACCTAAATACCTTCCCGATGGCTTTAGATACTTTAAATAATTTAAATAATAAAGTAACATAATTAAAAAGTATTAAAAGTATTAAAGTAACTTAAAAAGTTATTTGGACGCGGGAAAGGGCCTCGGGAAGAGGGGCGAAGGAAAAGGGGGCGTGGCCTCCCGGGGAGAGGCCCCCACTCGTTTTATTAAGGCGCCACTTTCAAAGTTAATTTTAATAATTTAAACTAAAAGTTTTTCGTAATTTTTTTATCAGTTTGGGGGTTTCTGATCACGCTCTATCCGAATCCGAAGAGAGCTAAGCTCTAGCTCCTTTCCCCTTCGAGTTGAATTCGGCTTCAGACACACACACAGACGTCTTTACTTTTTTATTATAGTTGATGCTCCCTCCCCGCCGTTATATAGGCCACCACCACTTCCGGCTTATGCTAATTTTATCCTAACAAAGAGGCTGCCCGATTTTTTAACAAAAAGTGATTTGTAATGTCGAAATAGACAATTTTGATAAAGCTGATATGCTTGCAGTCATCTCAGAGCCATTACGCAGCTAACGACGTATCATACGTAGCCTAATACCCTTCTGTTCTTGGGATATCCTCCGGACATGGTGACGGAAGTTGCATGCAAAGTGGCACACACACACACAAACACTATTTTTTTATATATAGTAGGATATTTTTAGCTAAAACGAAAACTCTTAGTATATTTTTTGACGCTCTATCGAATGGCGTTGCAAAATCCCGAGAAAATAGCGAAAAGATGGAAGGTTACGCGAAGCCTATTTTCCCCTCGCACATTCCCCCCGCGAAATAGAACAGAACCCATAAGGTTTTTCCCTTATGAACTTTTCATCCGCTCCCCCCCGAAATGAGAAAATTTTTTATAACAATTATAAGTCTGGGCTTCCTTTAGCTAATTTTTGCTGGTCCAAAGTGAGTTTCCGTATCTCGGCGCTCCTTAAACCTACAGCGCTGTCAATAGTACCAAAATGTAGCTTTTGCTCTGTAGAATAAGTTTGAGTAAAGAATTAGCCAAAATGAATACGTTGGGGTGTGAAACCCGCGGTGCAATAAACCATTGCGACTTATCGTTTTCAATTTTTATAAACGTTTTAAAAAAATTTCTAAGGATGTAAGGAAACAGCTGTTGGATAGTAATTCGACCACGGCGAGCATTTTGAGATACTCCACGCATTAAGCGGACGTATGACTGAAAAGTTGGGGGCGGGTAGGGGTGAGGGGTGAACGAGAGTCTTACCAAGCCTTTCAGAATTGCTTCTTCGTGGTCCAATGCTCGTCGGGTGCCGCCTGGTCGGCCGTCTTCATCATGATGCGCGTCATCCTGTCTCGCCTGCTCGCCGGCACTGAAGTTGAGGTGGGTGCGGCGGGGGAAATTGTTCAAAGATTTTGTAGAGCTGCTTGAATAGCAGTAGATTTTTAGTAGTTGCAAATTGCTAAAAATTGTTATAAAACCAGCGCTGATCCTCCCCTGCCCCACAATTTGAAACCTACTATCAGGTTGGATAATAAGTTCTGTCACAATTTTTTGGAAGCGCTTGTTAAAGCTGCAGACGTGCCCAAATTAATAGTGGGCTATATGGTTTGATAGGTCTCCTTGAGCTCTACCTTGGGTAAACCCTCCTAGCACCCAAAAATTGAGAGGCGCCGAGATAGAGCTTCGAGAAGTTTTCCGCAAAAACGTACCAAACCTATTTTGCAAGCTATCTCTGCATAGAGCAATTTGCATGCGATACCTTTAACACCAATCGATAGCTCTCGAGGAGTAGATATCGATGGATGTTGAGATCAACAAAATCGGACATCAGATGGCCGAGATATCGGTCTTTGAAATTTGGCCCGTTTCTTAGAACTTTTTCCAAAATCCCATACATTTGGTCAAAATGCGCTCGGTTCTTTCGAAAATCAAGCGGTCAGTTTTGGCTGCGGGCTATCAAATGTATGGGACTTCGGGAAAGTTCTAAGAAATGGGCCAAATTTCAAGGGGTCGTATCTCGGCCATCTGATGTCCAATTTTTGATGATCTCAACATCTATCGATATCTACTCCTCGAAAGCTATCGATTGGTGTTAGCCGTATTGCATGCAAATTGCTGTATGCAGAGATAACTCGCTAACACGCTTTTGCGTAATTTTGCGAAAACCTACTCGGGCCTGTATCTCGACGTCCCTCAATTTTTGGGTCAACTGAGGGTCCTCCCAGAATAAAGTGTTGTGAGACCTATCAAACCATACCTCATACTCCAGAATCGGGAACATCTGCTATTTTAACGAGCGATTTCAAAAACTTGTGACAGAACTTATTATCCAACCTGATATATATAAAAAATAATGTCTGTGTGTGTGTGTGTGTGTGCCACTTTGCATGCAACTTCCGTCAGCGTGTCCGGAGGATAACTACTACTACTGGTCAACTATAATAATTTGCTGTGGTCTCCGTCCGTCCGTCTGTTTGTGTGAAGCCGAATCCAACTCGAAGGGTAAAGGAGCTAGAGCTTAGCTCTCTTCGGATTCGGATAGAGCGTGGTCAAAAAACCCCCAAAATAAAAAAAAATATTAAAAATTTCGTTGAAACCAGGGTCGAAAAGCCGCTTCGCGACTTTTCAACCCTGGCCCCGTCTAACCCCATGCTTGTCAGCACTTTGCATTAACTCCTGAATTCCGATGCGAATGCAAATCGACACACACACACAGATACTATTTTTTATATATACCAGGATTGAAAAGCCGCTTCGCGACTTTTCAACCCTGGCCCCGTCCAACCCCATGATATCCCTCGCTGTGCATAATCCTTCCGCACTGTTATGTCAAAAATAAAAATCGCGTCCTCTCCCCGATTATATAGGCTACTCCCAGTTCCGGCGTATGCTAATTTTTTCCTAACAAAGAGGGTGTCCGATTTTTAAGGAAAAACTTAATTTTAATGTCGAAAACAATCGATTTTGAAAAATCTGATATGCGTGCAGTCATCTACAGGCCATTAGGCGTCTAATGACGTATCATACGCCCCTTTCATCCCTTCCCCTCAGGAGATATCCTCCGGACACGCTGACGGAAGTTGCATGTAAAGTGTCATAAAAAAAAAAAAAAAAAAAAACACACACACACACACACACACACACACACACACACACACACACACACACACACACACACACACACACACACACACACACACACACACACACACACACACACACACACACACACACACACACACACACACACACACACACACACACACACACACACACACACACACACACACACACACACACACACACACACACACACACACACACACACACACACACACACACACACACACACACACACACACACACACACACACACACACACACACACACACACACACACACACACACACACACACACACACACACACACACACACACACACACACACACACACACACACACACACACACACACACACACACACACACACACACACACACACACACACACACACACACACACACACACACACACACACACACACACACACACACACACACACACACACACACACACACACACACACACACACACACACACACACACACACACACACACACACACACACACACACACACACACACACACACACACACACACACACACACACACACACACACACACACACACACACACACACACACACACACACACACACACACACACACACACACACACACACACACACACACACACACACACACACACACACACACACACACACACACACACACACACACACACACACACACACACACACACACACACACACACACACACTATTTTTTTATATATATAGTAGGATTATTAAAATTCACTCTGAAAGTTTTTTCCTTAGTAAAAGGGGTGTGGGGCGGAGGTTGGGGGTGATTTTGGGACATGAGACTAGGTCGCCATGCCTAAACCTACTACGGTGTCAAATTCAAATATATTTTCCATTTTCGCTATCTTTTCGACTCAGAAATACTATAGCCTGATTCTACAGAGCAAGAGCTACATTTTGATACCGTTGCCAGCGCCGTAAGTCCAAGGAGCGTCGAGGTTGGATAAGGGAAACCCAGTCTGTTTTTGGTGTTTCTAACATGTTTTGGTGTAAGCAAACCTCTTTATACAGTAATTTGACTACGGCGAACCGTTTGAGATACTCGGCGCATGAATAGGACCTATGGCTGACTGTAAAGTGTTTTTACTAGGCTGGCTTTTTAGAATGGGACCAAGCCCATCTTATGCAGAATTTTGCGCTGATTCCGAATCTGATTTCCAAATTTGCTGCCGACATTTATTTAAAAAGTTATTCGACATTTATACTAAAAAAATTGACTAAATCTGGATTTTTTGCGTTATTTTTTAAGTTGTCGTCACCTCCGACGTTAAAACTGGCTCGGTAACAGTTTTAGAGGTCAAAGCGCGATTTTATGCAAAAATCATTTGTTTTTGTGCAAAAAGCAAAAGAAATTGTGCAGGGCGGGGTCCGAACCGCCGCCCTGTGCTTGGCAAGCGAACAGCTTACCAATGCACCATGGTGCCAACTGGGAAGGGGGCTTCGGGAGGGTAGCTAAAGGGCACAACAAAAATTAGGCCCAGGCAGGGAATAGTGGGCCAGCATCCGAATTTATGCCGTTTTTAAGCTTAATTTAGACCCCAAATGACTTTTCAACGCGAAGTCCGCAGCAAATTTGGAAAACGGATTTGGAATCAGCAAAAAATTCTGAACAAGCTAGGCTTGGTCCCATCCTAAAACGCCAGCCTGAGTAAAAACACTTTACAGTGAGGAACCGGGCTGAGGGGGGGAAGGTGGGGTGACGGCCATTTCGCCTAAATCCGTTTCGCCTAAACCCGTTTCGCCTAGAACCCGTTTCGCCTAAATCCCGTTTCGCCTAAAACCCGTTTCGCCTAAATCCCGTTTCGCCTAAACCCGTTTCGCCTAAACCCGTTTCGCCTAGAACCGGTTTCGCCTAAATCCCGTTTCGCCTAAATCCCGTTTCGCCTAAATCCCGTTTCGCCTAAATCCCGTTTCGCCTAAATCCCGTTTCGCCTAAATCCCGTTTCGCCTAAATCCCGTTTCGCCTAAAACCCCTTTCGGCTAAAACCCCTTTCGGGTAAACTCTAAGGTTAGTCGGCAAAAACGACTTGCTTGGATGTAAGGAAAACATAGGACGGTTTATTCATTCAATGATTAATACAGAGTCTTGTAAATAATTTCGATAAGGGCTCGCGGGTTATTGTCGTCGTAAGCCTCACACATCGCGCGCTGTTCGTCAAAATCCCGGCTGATTTTGCGCTTCGGCATGCAGGCGATCTCATTCGCTTCGCGAATTTTGACGCAATCTTCTGATGCAACGCATGCAGCCTTTATGGAATTGTTGCATTTTTTCCCGGTTAAGCATGAGCCAAAAACGTCTTTTAGGCGAAACGTCTTTTAGGCGAAACGTCTTTTAGGCGAAACGGGTTTTAGGCGAAACGGGATTTAGGCGAAACGGGTTTTAGGTGAAACGGGTTTTAGGCGAAACGGGTTTTAGGCGAAACGGGATTTAGGCGAAACGGGTTTTAGGCGAAACGGGTTTAGGCGAAACGGATTTAGGCGAAGTGACCGGAATTCGGGAAGGTGAACTGAACTCTAACCGGCCGTGGACCCATGGGCCCTCAAATCAACGAAATTCTAGGTGCTCGATTTGTGGCATGAGCTGCGCAGCGTTCGCCCGGACGCCATCACGCAGCCCGATCAGTACATGGTCGTCTACATGTCGGTGCTGGAGTACATCAAGGTACACCGCCTCGGGCTTTCCCCTAAGAGTTACTTCTTTGTGTTTAGGCCCGAGTGCCGGAGCACAAGGACAGGATCGACGGGTTCCTCGCCGACGTCAAGGGGGCCATGGAACCTCCCAAGTAGAGAATCAACCGAATACGACACGTCCAAGCATCACTTTTTGCGGCCAAATGATGGTAGGCTGGAGTTTGGTACGAGTCTAGCCCCCCCACCGCAGCAATTTTTCAGCCATACATCCTATTAATGCGTGGAGTATCCCAAAATCATTACCATGGTCGAATTACCATTAATAAGTTCTTTTTTACATCAAAATTTAATAGAAATTTTTTACTTTTTACAAGGTTCAAATGTGAAAAGACTAAGTCGCCATGCCTAAACCTACTTCGGCGTCAAATTCAAATATATTTTAATTTCTCACTAGTTTTTCGACTCAAAGATACGGTTGCCTTTTTCTACAGAGCAAGAGCTACATTTTGGTAGCAGTGACAGCTCTGTAGGGCTAAAAATAGCCAAGATACGAAAACTCAGGGGTAAAGTCACTACCCCGAAAAGTCACTACCCCGAAATAATTTGCATGATTTTCATAGAAAATCCGCATGAAAACTGGATTTTTCCGGGAAAAACAATGCTATCATTTTTCGCGGTAAACGTATTCGGGGTAGTGACTTTTCGGGGTAGTGACTTTTCGTTGTAATGACTTTTCGGGGTAGTGACTTTTCGGGGTAGTGACCTTTCGTTGTAATGACTTTTCGGGGTCGTGACTTTTCGGGGTAGTGACTTGTCGGGGTAGTGACTTTTCGGGGTAGTGACCTTTCGTTGTAATGACGTTTCGGGGTCGTGACTTTTCGGGGTAGTGACTTTTCGGGGTAGTGACTTTTCGGGGTAGTGACTTTTCGGGGTAGTGACTTTTCGGGGTAGTGACTTTCGGGGTAATGACTTTTCGGGGTAGTGACTTTCGGGGTAGTGACTTTCGGGGTAATGACTTTTCGGGGTAGTGACTTTCGGGGTAGTGACCGGACGCCGAAAACTCACTCTGGACCAGTAAAAATTAACTAAGGAAAACCCATACTTATAATTGTTATCAAAATTTTCTGGCAATTTTGATGTTAGGAAATGGTAATTCGACTCCGGCGCACATTTTGAAACACTCTACGCATTGATAGGACTTACGGCTGAAAAGCTAGGGCTGACAGTAAAGTGTTTTTGGTCATGATGGAAATTCCATTCGGGACCAAACCTGCCTTGTGCAGAATTTTTCGCGCTGATTGTCGAAAAAAATTGGTTGGCAACCGGAAAATGTGAAAGCATTCGATGTTCAATGTTTTTTTTTTCAGGAGGTCCTGGCCGATGATGCGCCCGTCGCCGACCTTCCTTTTTATGTATAGTAACACGCCCGGGTATACCGTGACCGGCCGTTTTTGTATCTTTTTTTCTCGTATGGCGTTTTCTAATCATGAATAAAAGATTTCTGCAAATTTGCTGTCGACATTGTGATTATGAATGGTGGTTGGGATGGCGAGTCGAGGGAGAGATAGAGAGAGAGAGAGAGCAGGCAGAGAGGGACAAAGACAAAGCGAAAGCGAGAGAAAGAGAGAGAGAGAGAGAGAGAGAGAGAGAGAGAGAAGAGAGAAAGAGTACGCGCGCGAGAAGGGGATTTTTGAAAATTTGCTGTAGACGTTGTGATTATGCATGGATGTTGGGACGATAATCCATCACGGAGAGAGAGAGAGAGAGAGAGAGAGAGACAGAGAGAGAGAGAGAGATAATGCAGAGATAGTGCAGAGAAATATGTGAGGGTCGTTAGAAGCAACAGCTGATGACTATTAGCCATCTCTGTCGGTCGGTTGCCGGCGGAAAACTTTTCGGTGCCTTTCGTTCACTGTTTCTGTATTTTGCGGGATTTTTTCTACTTAATGCACATCTTTTCAGAATTCTAAGCGCCAAAATGAATCGATGCTTCAGCCGGAACCAAGTAATTTATCCAGTATTTTTGGCGTTGCATACGACAAATAAATAATGAAAAGGATAGTCACAAATTCAGCGAAAATTAAGGACATTTCTGCAAGTCTCTAGAAAAATTCTTTAAAAACAAGAGAATAAAATCGGATCGGACACGTCACTTCGCAACCAAAGTAGTATTTTTGTGAGGATGAGCCGTCAGTGCATGTGGCTATTGCCGTACCCGCAGCCCGAAGAATCTCGCTTCAAAATCTCGTCCTCAGTCAGCCACCATCCATCCGGTCAGCAGGCACACGAATTTTTCTCGCGATCACGATGCGCCTCAAACGAGTCTAGGACCACTTTTTCTTCTGAAGGAGCCTCGTGTGTCGTCGCCAGGGACTGAAAATTTGGATAGATTACAGATTTGCCTTCTCTGGTCCTTTAAAATGGAGGGTGAGCGATAGATAGCGCCAAAGATAGAGACAGACAGCGAGAGAGACATTCATAGAGAGACACAGACATAGAGGGAGAGACAGACATAGAGAGAGAGCCTGAGAGAGAGACAGGGAGAGAGAGAGAAGGAGGGAGAGCGAGAGTGAGAAAAAATTTGGCGTCAAAGCTCCTATAGAACGTTTACTCTTTTTTGCAAATAATCTCTGCTAGCTTGCCCACCTGCCGTGCTATCGCCTCGAAAAGTGCATTAATATTGTGGCCAGCTTTTGCGGAGGTTTCGCAATATGTCGTCCCCAGCTCCTCGGCCATCCGCTTCCCTTCTTCTTCGGAAATCTAAAGGGACGGTGACAGGGTTACGGTAGGAAACCACAAATAACCTCTCGATCCTCTCTGTCCGATTTATTCCCGCAAATCATGATTGCCACATCAGTGGTGCTTTTCTTCCGAACGATATCCACCCATTTGTGCAACTGGAAAGCTGGTATTTTTAGATCAAATTGTGATGTATAAATTACGTTTTTGCCAGTATTTTACGTTTCGTACGGGCGTACTTATGCGTAGACGTACATATAGATACGGTAAGGTAAGATACGGAGGTAAAACAGGTCTATAAACAAACCTCGGCAAAGGTGTCCCGGCTCGTCACATCAAACATCACAACTGCCCCTCTGGCCTCTCGAATATAGGCCGGGATGAGGCTGTGGAAACGCTGAAATGGCAGTAATATTGTCCCCCTGAATCGCAGCTCAATTTTGGTGTCAGGCTCCCTTTAAAAGTATGTTAATGTACGACCGATAGCCGGATTCGAAAAACCACGCTGTCGCCATCACTTTAGCTAGAAGCAGAAAACGCAAGATTCGACCCCTTTGTTTGGCTAGAGCTCGACAGCTACGCGACACTCCAAAATGCCGGGTTTGAGGTTTTACCAAAACCGTCCGATCCCATTTGCTACCAAAATGAGCTCATACACGTCATTTGGAGTGTTGCGTAGCTGTCTAGATCTAGTCGAGGGCAGATGTCGATTCGGCCTTCCTAGCCCCCTTAAGCTCCAGCAGCAATGCCCGTTTTAAAGATAACAGCCAAAAATGCATCAAAACGACTTAAAAAAGTTATTTGGAGTGCCGCATCGTCGCTGTCTGGACCTAGTCGAGGGAAGAGGTCGATTCCTAGCCTTTCTAGCCCCTTTAGGCGGATCGACATGAATTTTTTAGTATACGTTACAAAAGTTTAACAAAGCGATTTCAAAGAAGTAATTTGGTGCACCGCGTCGCTGTCTAGATCTAGTCGAGGGATGAGGTCGACTCGGCCTTCCTAGCCCCTTTAGGCCGACCGACAATGAGTTTTTAATATCTAAATTTTATCAAATTTATCAAAACTATTTTGATGGAGTAATTTGGAGTGCCGCGTAGCTGCCACGACCTAAGCACTGGAACGGATCGATTCTGAAGCTTTCTACTGCCTTTAGGCTCGGGTGGAAAACGATTTTTGAGATTAGATGCCAAGGTTTTTTAAGTGTCGCGTAACTGTCTAGACCTAGTCGAGGGAAAAGGTCGATCCTACCATCATAGCTCCTTTAAAACACTTACCTCCTGCCCAGCCGTATCCCAAATCTGGATCCGTACAGCCCTCCCATCGACAATCACCGTTTTCCCGGTAAAATCGATACCGATCGTCGGGATATTTGTCTCCACAAAACACTGGTCGATGAATTTCGTGATTACGGTAGTTTTGCCGACTCCAGATGCCCCGAGAAATATCACCTAAATGACATGAATAGAAAAATAGGGGAAAACCTTTAATTTATCCAAATCCCCCGAGCCGATCGCGTTCATTTTCTGGCTCCAGATTCGATTTCAGAAATCGCGAATTGAAATCTAAGTTCGGGAATCACATTCACGGCCTAGAAATTGCCAGAGTTTTGATGGATGAATAGGGTTCTTTAGGATTTCCGGGGGGGGGGAAACCAAATTTTTTCGGCCCAAGCCTAAATTTTTTTCTAAATGGCGCATGCGTTTCTAGGTTTTTAACTATTCCTGAGCATAAAAACTACACACTTTTTAATTAAAAAATTTAATTTTAGGTCGAAAAATCCTATAGAACCTTTAGGATTAGCGGGGGGGGAAAGGCCCAAAATGACTAAATTTTCGACTTTTTCAAACATTTTTCTAACTTTTTTGAAAGGTTTTTCCACTTTAAATAGAGTTAAAATTTACTAAAAACAATGTGATAAACTTTATATTTGATTACTAGGTCAACCGGGAAAAACAGGAAAAATTTGGTTTCCCCCCTCGGAAATACTTTCCCCCCGGAAATCCTAAAGAACCAAGAATAGAATAAAAATTACGAAAAGGCTGATTTTTAAAGATTTTTATGGAAAAGCAAGCCAGCAAAGATCCTGAGAAAATTGATCTTTTTCCGTTATGAGCAATCACAGCAAATATGGTGACTTTTAAAGGGACTAGAAAACGCGAGAATAGACCTTCCTCTTGACTAGGTCTCGACTGCTAGATGAAACTGCAAATTGCGCCTACTTTGTAGTATGTTTAGCAAACAATAATTCAATAGCGTCATCAGTAATATTGTGTAACCGTCGAGACCTAGACGTTGACGTCGCGCTTCCTTGTCCCTTCAAAGCGGCGAACGCCTGAGTGAAAAATTTCCACTTCGACATTGATCCGTAATTTTGCTGTAGTGTGCCGAGAGTGGGTCGAGTCTCAGGTTTCTCAGTGCCTTGAAAAGTGCCAATTATACTACAAGCCGATGTTAATCAATTTGCAGCCTCAACAATAATTTTAGAGAGATCCTTGGCAAGATTTAGTCGTTAGAAGGGGTCGATTTCTCGGACTTCCCAGCCCCTTTAGAGAAACAAAATTTCCTAATACGACAACTTAACAGTAATAAGCATAAATACGACCAAGCGTGGCGCGAGAAATGGCTGAATGGTGTCGAATATAATACAAAAAGGACCCCCGGCTGAATATCGGCCAGCTGGCCCCCAAATCGATGCGTTGGCCGATCGGGAAGGGGTCGCCAGGCAGGGCAAAGAAAATAAAACACAAAAAGGGGATGAGGGGACAAGACAACCCAAAAGACAGGGGAATGAATGCTGACACCAAAATGGGGTGGAGATAAGCATCTGAAGAGGACACCTGACAATTTGGGGGACACGGGGATGGCCACTGCATATTTGTTAGGGGAGGAAATTCAGAATTTGGAGGTTAGAAGAGAGCGAGAGAGAGAGAGAGAGAGAGAGAGAGAGAGGAGATCGAGATCGAGAGAGAAGAGAGAGAGAGAGAGAGAGAGAGAGAGAGAGAGAGAGAGCGCAAGAGAGGGAGAAAGAGACTGGAGATTTTACCGTAATTCTGGCCAAACTTAGTTTCGCTCTGTCTCGCTCTCACTCACTCACTCTCTCTCTCTCTCTCTCTCTCTCTCTCTCTCTCTCTCGCTCTCTCCCTCTCTCTCTCTCCCTAGATCACTCTCTATCTCTTTTTTCCGCACCGGTCTCTCTCTCAGTTCTCCTCTCCCGTGTCCTCCGTTTTTTGCTCAATTTAAACATTTTATTTTAAAGGGAGGATCAAGCGCCAGATTCGACCTCGCCCTAGGCTAGGTCTCGACCATTGTCCGCAACCCCAAATTACGGAAACGAACGCCATTAAATTTGTCAGAAACTGCTCTATTCGGTTTAAGCTCGCTCCTAAACTTCCAAACAGCGGATTTTTGGCACTATGACCGTCTTTTTTTTCAGCATACAGTGTATTAGGCTGTGGACGATAGCAGTTTATCATGTTGTTCGGTAAAATAAGCACAACCATTTTTGTTTATCAATCCAATCGATAAAAGGACCCGTGAAGTGTGAAAGCAACGTGTGTAAGTGATGGATGAGAGAAAGACAATGGGAGAGAGCGAGAGAAAGAGACCGAGCGAGAGAGTGAGAGAGCCAGCGAGAGAGTAATAAATAAAGCGAGAATTAAAGCGATCACTCGATACGTCAAAAATAAGTCTTAACGTCACAGTAAGTCAAAGACGGAAAAGTTTGGATTTTAGAGGCCTTGGCCGATCTTCATCACCTCTTTCCAGACTGACTTCATTTTTTCGAGTTCTACGGCATTTTTCAGGTTTTCGGCTTCCGCTGCGTTTGCCTGAAAAATATTGTAGTTTAAATGCGAATTGTTGTCCGACTGAAATAGAGAGCGAGAGAGAGAGAGAGAGAGAGGGAGCGAGAGAGAGAGAGAGAGAGGGAGCGAGAGAGAGAGAGTCAGATTAAGTACCTTTTCCCTCAATTCCCTAATGATCGCTTCCAAGCCAGCTCTCTCTGCGTCAACAGCTTTCTTCTCCAGCTGTCGCTCATTTTCGTACATTTTTCTGCAAAAATCACGTTGCGCTAGAAACTGCTAACGTACCGTATCCCCTCGATTCGTTGCTCTGCATCCGAATTGACGGTGGCCAGTCGACGCTCACAGTCTTCGAGTTGTTTATTGGCTGCTGTCTAAAAAACCTAATTGCTTGTGTTTTATCCCAATGATCTCTGCTAGCATGCCTTAATTAGCAGACAGAGGAAAGGGAGGCTAGCAAAGATTCTTTAGGAAAGTGCAAGCGTTAGCAGCAGAAATCCTTTAATTGCTAGACGAGAAATCTTACGGCTTTTCGTTTGTTGGCGGCCAGCTCAACCTCCAGGGATCCAAGTTTCTCGTTTTTGGCCAGGATTTCGGTGTCCCGCTCGGCAGTCTGTCTTCGGGATTCTACAAAAATGCAATTCTTAGCGAAAAAAACTAAAAACTTGAGCTATGAAGAACGATCGTAAAGAAATTATGGTTTACCTGCCAAGTCGTCCGTCAAAATCTTCTTGTCGAGCATTAGTTCTTCATTTTTCGCTTGTTTTTCGAGAGCCAGGCTGGAGGCTCTATAATAAAAAGCCGTTTAAAATTGAAAATTCCATAATTCAAAGCGATAAAAATTTTTTTATTAGATTTTTACAAAAACACAGGCCGCCAGCCTACCTCTCAAACTTGTCGGTCATCTCCCGGCAGGCCTGCCGGAATTGGGCCGTGATTTGCATTTCTTTCCGGTTTTCCTCGACGAGAACTTCTTTGGCTGCCAGTGCATCGGATAGACTTTAAAAAATCGGAAATTGTAAGTTATAGTCTGTAACTTACTCGGCTTCCAAGATTCGATTTCTGTCCGTCAGCTTCTCATTTTCGGTTCGTAGGAAGAGGGGCTAAAAATAGGGTTTTACTCGCACTCTGTGTCTCTTTTCTCTCTCTCTCTCTCTCTCTCTCTCTCTCTCTCTCGTTTTCTGTATCTCTATATCGCTTTCTCTATCTCTCTTTACTCTCTCTCTCTCTCTCTCTCTCTCTCTCTCTCTCTCTCTCTCTCTCTCGTTCTCGCTGTCCATGTCTCTCTCTCTTTCCCTCTTTCTCTCTCTCTCTCTCTCTCTCTCTCTCTCTCTCTCTCTCGCATTTCTACCTCAGACTCTCCAGAAGTCGCATATCGTTGCATCCGCTCAGCATGTAACAGTGAAGCTTCCCGGCTAGTCAGTTGAGCTAAAGATTGAGAATTGACAAGCCAGAAATTTTAGCAATGAGTATTTGCCTTCCTAGTCCCTTTAAAAGCAGCATTAATTGAAAGTAAAGTCAGGTTAAAAATGTTGTACCCTGTAACTTGGCGATCTTCTCCTCCAGGCTTGCAACTAGGGAGGCAGATGGCTGCGTACGGTTCTGAAGTGGACAGTTGAATTGACGTTTTTAAGGTTTTGATACCTCTAACCCGTTTCCAAGTTGATTAACGACGTCATCAAGTACGGACGAGACCCTATTTGACGTCTAGAAAATTCAGAAAATTTGAAAATTCAAGCAAAAGTCCTCACCTCAGCTTTTTCGGTGAGCACTTCCGAGTCGGTGGACCTAGAAAAACCAAAAATATTTAGAAAATTTTAATTCATAGCGGTTTTGATGATTTTTCAGTGTTTTTTTGTAAAGAATCGCTGCTAGCCTGCCTTTCCAAAGGTTTGAATTTTGGGCTTTACCTCCGATTTTCCCGGCTTGTATCCAACGAAGCTGCCACGGCATGCTTCCACTTTAGCTGCCTTTCGATGACGTTTGAAGCTACCATATCAGCCAATCTAAAAATTATAAGCTGAAGCTGAGTTTTGCATTTTATAGCTCGTCTAAAAAAATTATTGAGAAAGACGTACCCGCGTCGATCAAACTCGTCGATCTGTGCGCAGTGGAAGAGGACGTAGAGCGCGTTGAACACCTGGATACGGTATTTAGCCAAATTGTCAAAAAATATATTTAACAATGGGGACGCAGAATAAATGCTTACGCTCAAATCGTATGTTACTAATAAAATGCGTCGTTTGGCAGCGGACCCATATCCGAAAATCAATAAAAAAAAACATTACCTGTTGATGATGCCCACTCGTCAGCGCGAAGGCCAAAAACGGAACCAGACGAGCGTCCTAAATAAATTTCGGAGACCAAGTTACGTATTCTTAAGCGAATTCTGCTGTAAACGCACCCTTAACAGTTTCCAGTACTGCTCCTTGTGCGGTTTTGACGAGTCTTTCAAGGAGTTCAGTAGTAGAAATAGGGCCAGAACGATCGAAGTGCCGTGTTCACTAAAAATTATTTGTTTCTATTTTTTTATTAATAAATTTTAGCTCACTTTTGTCCCTAATTTTTGAAAATTCATTTGAAAATAGTCTCAAAATTTTTTTGTCGTTTCAAGTAGAATAGGTACTGTATTTAATTAAAAAGGTGCACAACCTAAGAAAAAATGGAATTCATGACTGCATAGTCCCTTTAAAATGGGATAACTGCCAAGACCTACCTCC